TGCGCCTCTTCTATTCGATTGACTGATCTCACTCGGCCCTTGACAATTGACACGCTCGAATTGATGAGCCACAAACCCTCGATAGCGCATCTGGGAATGTGCCCAGTCCACGAGCTGAAGCTGGCCGTTATCATGACTAATACGGCCTTCCCTTAGATCGCCCTGACAACTCGAGCTAGTTGCGAAAGTGAGGTAAAACGAAGTTTATACAACCTTGCATTTAAATGTCACGTCGAAGCTGAAGCAGTAAACGGCTCAGATCAAGTCTTCATTTGGGAAGTCGTCTTCTCTGGGCCCTCGCAGGAGCGGGCTTGAGGCCGCGAAATGTTGGGAAGCTGCGAGAGATGAGAGATTTGAGACTCGACTCTTGACCAGCGTAAGGCGGTGCCAACTGTGGGACACCAAAGAAAGACCAACCTCGACGTGTAACGGCATCGGCTCGCCGGAATTCTTACGCTCATCAGCATTCTGCCCCCAGGGGTGGCGACGAAAAACCACCCCCTAGTAGGAGTGGTTGGAAGGGAGCTCGGCGCTTTCGAGGCGTTCTACAAACCGCCACAGCTTGACGGCCCCAAGAAATACGAAGGGTCGATTGCAATTTTTTTTTGAAATGGCCTCCGAGGCCTTGGGACTTACTTGAGGTAACAGGAGGCCTGCAATAGAGGCGACGGCGCTGAGGCTGATTGGTGCGCACGCCAACGCGCCCGTAGCGACCGTTTTATGTCCTAACGATTACAGTACCACTGGAATGAGAATCAGGCGAATCAGAGAGATAGACTGCTGAAGGACGCTAGACAAGTAGTGCGCGTCATCGGATGAGAGCACAAGTAATGGCGATAGACTATCGCGGATTGCGTGGTCGGAGAGATTGATTTTAGATTTTATGGCATATTTTGCCTTATGCATCTCCAGTACCATCAGCTTTGGCTGCCAAACGAACAGTGACGCCATCCAAGTGTAAACTTCCCGAGAGGAACGCATCCACACCCCACGTCACACATTTGAGCCTTAGTTACGTTATCCAAGGACCAGTTGCAAGTTGGCCCGAACGAGCATGTTTGAAGCGTTTGGCGCACGGCAATGCATGGTCCTGGGCCGCGAGACCAGATTGAGCTGACGGGGGCCTATCATCTCTCTTGGCCGTAATACTTTAGCATTTTTATCTCATATACACCAGCCTATGAGGGGGTACAAATCGATAAAAGAGAAGGGTATAACCTATCATTGAAATAGAGACGAAACCAGGTTCAAGGAAAATGGACCTTATTATGCTCGTTGTCATCTTCAATGAACAGCCTATAGGGCTCGAGTCCTTCAGGACGGCTACGTGCCTCAGCTTAGTTTACGACTGAATAGACCGCTTAAAACCAACCTGCTGGTTGTCTTGGCCAGATATGACACAGCGATAAAACGAGCTATGGAAACCAGTTGGAGCCCAAACAAAGTGGCAGTAAAAGGCATGCGGTAAACCTGCAAACAGAGGGTGTTATAGAGTAGGGAATTATAATGCTATTGCTGGTGGTGATGGTGATGGTGATGGTGATGGCGGAGGAGGTGGCGGTGGTGGTTGCGGAGTTGCGCTCAGAATTGAGAACTATGCTTGCGCTGTGGAGAGCAGAGAATAGTAAACAGTGGATGGATGAATTAGGGTCAAGCCCCCAATGGGCCATGGAGGGTACACTGGCAGGCCAGCTGAAGCCTGAATATTATCGACCCGAGTAGCGGTGGCGATAGGCCGATTG